AGGAGCCCAAAGCTGGACACTACTCCAGTTGTGGGCTCCCAAGTGCTAAATGGAGGAGAAGCATCCCTTCCCTACACTTGTAGGCTCTGGTCCTGCTACTACGGGTCCCTCTTGTCCTTCACACAAACCAAAACTGAACGCTTGGTGCTCCCATAATGCATGCAGCTTTGCAGTAGTACAGTTAAGGGGAATCCCTGTTTGTTTTCTGAAATAAATTCAATGGCCTGAGTTCAGATTTTGAACAACTAAGGAAGTGATAGGAAGATGAGTATAACTTTTCATTCTGGTACCAGCCTTAGGGAGGATTTTTTTTTAGTTCTCTTTAAAATTAACCAAAGAATTATGTAAATGAAATCTCCAAAGTTAGAAGGAAAAACAAAATCTTCAGTGAACAGTTCATTTTTAACGTTCAGATAAACAGTAGAAGTCAATAAGATTGCAATAAATTGTCTCTGATTTTTTGTTTGTTTGTTTTGATTTGTTTTGTTTTCCAGGGCTTCAGCAATCAATGCTGAATTTTAGCTTTCTTTCTCTTCTTTTTGATAACTTTAATTGATCAAACTGTGTGTATAATAAAATTCTAATCCTAAGAAGCTTTTTCCCCGGTCTCACTGAAACATGGATGCATCAGTACCTCTCCATTTCTGAATACTTCTATCTTAAGACCTCAATACTCATCCAAGTATAACAAGATCTGTATACAGGGCATGGTACTAGACCAGATCGACCATCCTGTGTTCTTTGGGGGGGGGCGGGGTATAGATACAGTATTTTTTAACTGAAGAAAATGTCTGCTCTTTGTAATGCAAGCTGTGTCATATCACTCATAGGAGAAGTGAGAGCTCTCAAAAATCAGAAAATAGAACAGAGGAGCCTGGGGATTGGTTTTGTTCATATTAGAAAAGTATCCTGGGTAGAAAAATACCATTGAAAATATGGTCTTATTACACCTTCACAACTTCTTTTTCTTTTTGTTGTTGTTATTGTTGTGAAATCCAGTTTTGTGTTGGTATTGCTAATGTAGGCTCGGTAAGGACAAAGCCAGCTCCAGGTATTACTTGGATGTCTCTGTCTGTCTGTCTGTCTTTCCCCACAAATGCACAGTTTGATTTCAAGCTGGGATGAACAAGATTCAGGGTTTTGATCACATACAGTAGTATTTTTCAGTGGACCAGTCAGACTGACAGGCCACCAGTGACTGAAATATCCACTGTAGATTTCAAACTTTTTGAAATTGCTTTAAGCAAGTGGCAGTGTAAAAAATTAATTCCAAAATTTTTATCAGCATCACAGCAGGCAAATTAATAATCCTCTGCACTAAAATTCAGCATAGAAAGTATCAGGCTCAGAGAGAGTATATGGAATCATGATGTTCTAATAGAAATCTGCATTTAACCTTATATATAAGCATTTGACATCAGCAAAATCTGTGCTTTATTAAAAAATGCATTGTTTTCATCCAGACTCTCTTCAATCCCCTTCTTTTTACTTTCTTCTTCTCTCTTTCTACGGTATAGTTTTATTTTTGGTAAAGCACACAGACAGAAACAGCACCCGTTTTTCCCACCCACTGTCTGTGCGTTTGTGCACTGGATCTTTCTTCTGCAGTTTCTACCAAGAGCAGCAGTGAAAAGCCTAGCTCAGATCATGCGGTGGTACATGCTTTTTCACGCTTAGCTACTGCTTGCCTGTTCAAATAGCCAGAAGCCTGGCAGAGCAGAGCTGGCTTTATTTGTTGAGTCTTGTCTAGCGAAGTGAAAAGGGCTGAATTCCCTGCCCCCCCCGGCTGCATTTTTGCACATGTGGGGGTAGGGAATGAAATTATTTCTTTTGTTCTCTACTTGCAGCTCATTGAGAAGCAGACATGCATATAAAATTACTGTATCTCAGGGCTTACCTTCAGGGACAGGAGGGAGAAAAAAACAGATTTGTAAGCTTGTCTGGAAACACTGAGGATGCTGAGAGTAGACACAAAAGTGGGAGGTAACAAACTAATAAAACACAATGACTAGAGGAGTAATAAAAACCTTTCAAACTAATATAATGACAGTTTAATTTTGTCCCTTGTAAGAAATACCACATTACTGGATGTATCAAGGGGGCAAAAAATTGTGTCAGTGTGTCCAAGACACAAGAGCATCAAAACAGAGAAGTGTAGATTTGAAAATTCACCACGAAAAATATATAACAAATATCCATGGGTTTTTTTCTAGATATTAAATTATACCTGCAATTAAAAAGAAGTTATCTTGAGGCGTGAACTTCAGTGGTGGGGGGTGAAACACAGTCCTGTTTTTCTCTAGGTTTAGTTTACACCCAAGTGGATCAATGAACACTAACCTGCATCTCAGCTTTCAGTAAGTTTTTGTGGGTTAACTACATATTTTACCTAACTGTTCTGCAGTCAGATGGTAAAGCTACAGTTTCCTTCAGTTCTCCTGTTACTATTACTGTGTGTGAACTTTACTTTGGGTAGCATTAATGATTCATGATTTGTAGTGGTTTTAACTACCAGTGAGCGTAAGCGTTGCTGTGGCTTTTTTATCACTTGACAAAATGACAGGGTAGGGTTTGGGCTGGCTGACCAGTAACCTGAATGTAGCTTCAGGGTAACTCTTGTATTTTGGTCTTTTGCATGTTTAGGGTATTTTGGTTAGAGAATGGAGTGAGGTAGGAAAAGAGGTTTTCAGAATAGGCATCAGATGCTACAAATCAGTTTGTTTGCAAAACTAGTTTATATGCTCTGAGTCCTAAACAGATGCGATTAATTAATGGAGTTTCTGGAATATATGATGTTATTGGTATATATCAATATGTTCTGGATTCCTAAACTAATGGTTTGTTGAAATTGCAAATGTTAAATATTATACATGAATGTGATTTAGTCAGTTTACTGAATGAACTTGGAAACAAATATGAAGAGTTCACTGAGATTAAAAGAAGTCTAGTTTGGGAATCCATGGATTCAAAAATACGTTGCTCTTTATGGCTACTCCTCCATACTATCTGTGCAAACTCAGCTTTGAAATGAAGAATTCACAGAAATTTATAGAATTCCTCGTTTGACCTCCAACCTAGTAATCTGTATTAAACTTTTAGAAAAATATCTGGAAAAGTTTTCATTTAAATTAGAAGAGATTTGAGGGGTCTACAGAGACACGGATGCCATTATACAAATTTCCAGCTTGTGTTTGAACAAAGCTGTTGGTGCTGGTTTATATACATATAAAGTGTATAGCTACTTTTCCTACAAAAATTACACAAGCAACAATATTTGAATGTTAATTTGAAACTTCCAGCAAAGGGAGGAATCTGAACTGTGACCTCTGGGATAAGTTTGAAGTCATCTAACTTCACTGTAGTGTCTTTCATGCAGTTTTTCCCTCCAAACTCTGTACTTAGCTGACCTAATTTTAAAAGGATTACAAATGTTCATCTGCTGTATAAACGGTTGTGAAGGGAAGAGTGGGGCTGGGGAGAAGCTATGAAAGCTGAAAATTGTGAAAGACAATGCAGAGAAGCTCATTCTCATAATACGATAATTTTCACTTGACTGGAAGGCATGGGTGCAAAAGCTGCCTGCTGGCCATGGAGCCAACAGGCACAGGAATTTGTATTTTGGTTAACAGTGTATACTTCTAACAACTTAATCAATGTTGAGTAGTATTTTACCCTCAGTCTGAGAGTAAAGACTAGCTGCCTTTAAGTAAGGATGGCAAAATCTGCCTTTCAATGTATTTGGCTTGAGGATGAGAGATGGCAAGATGTGGCCACCTCCAGTCTACGAAAATGTGCATACTCTATAAAACATATTATGGTTTATTGCCCTGATGATTAGTATAATGTTTCTCCATATTTTCACAATTTATCAATACATGTATTGAATTTTTTTAAAGTCTTCATTTCTTGAGATAGAGGAACAGGATAAACTCAAACAATTGAAACAGTGGAACAAAAGCTCACAGTTATTTAAAAGTCATGCAACTTGTGTTTCCTGAATGCTTAGTATAATGTTAATAATGCTCGTGATTATAAATTCGTTAGTTCTTAAGTGCTTGAGTTCTATGAAAAACACAAGACACACTATATGAATCTCACAGAACAAAAAGTCATTCAGGAAAAGATAGGTGTTTCATTCCTTCTGTATCCTGTTTTATGATGGTAGTGTTGAGGTTCCTTGTTATTTTCATAAGTCTTTGGATATTATTGTATTCTAACAATTTTGTATACTAAAACACATTAATATTTCTGGCTACCATACATATTAAAACAAATTTCTTACTCCAACATACTTAAATGGTGTCCAAAAGTAAGTATTATACTGTTCATAAATACCTAATAATTGGCAATAATATCCTCAACTTCAAAAAGCGTAATCTGGTACTGCAAAGTATACTGTAAGAAGTGATTTTTTCAATAAATAGATTTGTTAAATGGTTTCCAGAGATCTTTCACACACAGTGTATCTTACATTCCCTTTTAGTATTCAGAGTCTCTTATGCTTTAAATTTCAGTAGAAGTGATCTTATTCACACAGAGAAAGATTTGATCTACTGAGTGATATGGTTTGATTTGCAGCTTGGTAGTATCAGTCAGCTGAGATTTGGAGAAAGCTGTGTTTAGTTTCTAAAGTAAAAAATCTCCACAAAGTTTTGATGAAAAACTTTTGGAGAAAAGTGGGCAAAATAAATATTTTTACATTCAGTTTTAAACTGCATATGCAGGAAAGCTGATTTCATAGTGAACAAAAAAAATGCAGTATTTTTTTCCTGTTTCAATATTTCAAAAATTTTATCCAGCTTTATACTGTTTGTGATGAGTGTACATCACTTCAAAACAAAGTCTCTTTCTTGAATTGTTTCAGAAGTACCGAGAATATTCATTAATCAGAAGCAAAATTAATTAAAAATTATTCTCTTTACTGTTGCATTGTGTATGTCTTTTTGTGAACGTAATTAAAATACTCAAGTAATCTCAAATTTATTTTTTCTTACCTTCAGAACCAACATACATCACAATAGGTCCGCCCACCTGTGAGATTTTGGTGAACTGCACTTTGACTGAAAAAGACTGTATCTATAGCTTCAAACTGGACCAAAATGGTTGCCGCATTTGTCAGTGTAAAACTAGTGAGTATGCAAAAATACAGTAGCTTCTACCTTTTATATCAAGCTGTATATGAAAATGCTAGTATGCTGTTTTTTCCATTCATAAAGTTGATTATATGTTGTATTAGTCTACTTGTGCTTTATAATTGTTCATCTTTAATTGGTTCCTGATTTCTGACATTGCTTGTTTGCTTGCTTAAAATGTGTTTGGAGGAAAACATAAGATGTCTGACTTCAAGTAAAGATTAACAGCTAAGTAGAAAAGGTTATAATTTGGGAATTAATGCTCATTCAGACTTTGAGAAGTTTGATAAGACTTCGACATTTTATTTTCCTCTGTGTATGTTAAGAGTTTAAGAGCATCTAGGTTTGTGCACTTCAAAAACTCCTATTGCTAAACAGCCTATTTTCAACTTAGCTTTTTTTCCTCAAAACTTAGGTTTTGAGGATAAATGTTTGAAAATTATGTGCCTGGGGGAGTGTTTGTGTATATACAAACATATCTCTATATAATTTTATTTCTATAACATATTCTTATATTTATATTTTATATATATATAATACTTTAGTTAGGATTTATGGAGGCTTTAACATCTATTTCTTCCCCAAGGAAAATCATTGTGCCTTGTGAGAACTTGGTGTGTATCAGTGAAGCAGCAAAAATGTATTTTCTGTATGTGCTTCCTTAAGAATTTGATGTTTACAGATGAAATACTAAGCAAAGTCAGGGTGGTTGTTGGAATTGCCCAACAAAGGACACCTGTGGAGTACTAGTCTCAGCTGCAGGATGCATCACTCTGGCTGCCAGCCCAGCCCTAGGAGTGAGTTTTAAATCTCTTTATGTAGTTCTGCAGCTTCCTTGTAGCCTCTAAGGTTTTCACAACTAAGCTATTACTCTGTTCCTCTTCTTTTGATTTCGGCCCACCCGTTCTCAGCCACGTTCTAAGCCAATATGACTATTTTAGGGGTCCCCAGTAGAAATGGTCAAAATAAAACTTAATTGATATAAACTAAAGAGTTTTAGGACTGGATTGGTGTTTTGCTTAAGGAACAAGATAAGTGTTTGTCCTGGCTTCTTTAACTTCTTTTTTGGGGAAATGTGCATTTTTTTTATTTCAATAACATAAAGGACAGGACATCTTAGTAATAAGTAAATACATGGCAAGCAATAATGTCATTATGGTAATACAGAAATACCACCTTTGATTACAAGTTGTATTCGTGGCAAGGGCAACTTTCCATAGATTGCATCCAAGCTATCGCATACATGCCTTACTTAGTTCTTCCTAAGGACAAAATTAGAAATGTTAAGTTCTGCTTTTAACATTGTAATTTGATTTTCCTTCTTTTTTTTTATTGGTGTTAAATTGGTTGGGGAGTTTTGACACAAACAAGAAGATGGACATACCCGGCAAATTTCATCATCTATGCCTGTGCGTGCAGTCCTTCCCTCCACTTTGGTGCACAGGAGACCCATCGCTCCAAAGGATCATTTCTTTTGTCCTAGATTACCAGATTGCACATGTACACATACCACATCCCAGGAAGTCTGTGTTCTTGCTTGAAGTGTTTCTGATTAAACAGTGCTTAAGAACCTATTCAAGGGAATTTTTCTCTTGCCAGATTTGCTTGAAATTATTTTGATTTTGCAGTAGCAAACTGCCTGGAGCAAACTTAATAGTATCATTTGTCTGTCATCTTTTTTTCAGTTAAATAACTTGAATGGTAGATTGCTTAAAAATCTCCTCAGTCATTCGGAGAGGGGAAACCTTTATTTTCTAAAAAAGTGAAGAAAAATAACAGCTTGGAAGTCTTCATCACTTGGTGGTTATCAGTCAAAATGACAGAAATAGAATTTTCTGTCAGGTAATGTCTCTCGCTTGCAAGGCTCTGGACAAATGAGTGTGAGCACTGAGAATAAAGGAGTTTTAGGTCAAATATGTTGAAAAAGTCTTGCGCTAGTTCTCTGCATTTTGAGATCCTATGTACTTTCATGTCCAAACCAGTTTAGTTGCATTTTGGGTCTCTAAGAATGTGAGGATGTGTATTATCTTTAGCTCATGTAGACTCGTATGGACTTTTGGGAACATCGCTGTCTCTATACTGCACCCACTTGTTTCTTGCTGGTCAACTGAGTCAGATTTAAAGTGCCTGAGTAAAGGAGGCCCACATGCCCCCCATTACATTTGGAGTCATCATATCCTAATTCTACCAATCTCTTTCCAATAGTTTCCTTTTTCGCTAATTTATTTAGATAGCTCTGCTGAAGATTTGTGATACTTCAATCGATTTCAGCCAAAATAAAAGCAGAATGACAAAGTGGAAGAACGTAGAGTAAAGCTGTAAATTGTTCCTCATTATTACCTTCGTTTACATTCCTGTAGCCAGAAATCAGTACAACAGGTTTATTTGAAATCATTATCTAAGTACAATATCATGAAACTTGTTTGGTGCTTTATTGTAATTTAGTTTCAAGTTTATCCTACTTGAGTCAAGCCAACTACAGAAAGAGAAAGAAGAAAGAAGCAAATTGTAATATTTCTAGAATATGATTTTAATAGAATTAGTTTACTTTGTCCTTTATCCTTCTTCCTGTTTTTGCAGTGAATGCAAAAACATGCTGTAACACCACTTGGTGAAAACATAACATGCTTTAAAGTAAAATAAAATTTTTTAAAAAAGCAGAATCAGACCACAGCTGTAAGAGAAGGGAGGCAAAAAGTACCACTGAGCAAAGAGTGAGCACAGATAGGTATGGGGGAAAAGTTCCAGTGAGTAGTGATGGAACCACAAATGATGAGGGAGAAAGAATGACCATATTGACTGGGAGCATATAGAAGCCAAAGAAGCACTACATCAGGATAAAAAGAAAAAAGTAAAATCCAGGGTATAGGAAAAACTGCTGCGAACTACCAAGAATAAAACTAAAACAGCAGGAAAAATATGAAATGCACTACCAAAAAAAAAAAAAAAAATGATAAAAGAACAAAAAACAAACAGAAAAAAAGTAAATAAGCAAAAAATTATTACTTGTAGGGTGCAGCAATTGCTATTTTGTTTGGCGTGTCTAGGCCTTTGCTTTCATAGGGAGAACTGGAGTGGATTAAAGTCTTTAGGAGGAGGAGTACATTAGGGGAATGAAACAAGACCAGTGATCGGCTATTTGTGAGGCAGGACTCCTGTTGCTCCAAAGAAGACTTAACAGGCACATTGAATAATACCTGCTGATTGCAGTAACATAGGATTTAAAATCTGATAGTTGCTGCTGGACACTAAATCATTCTTCAGTGAGTGCCTGCAGTGAGGGCCAGTGTTTTATCTGGCCTTGTCTGTTCCCTGTATTATATTCATGAAAAAAAAAAGCCTTTAAAATCTCTCCTGCAACTTAGACTATTGCATTTTAGCCCAAATGAATTAAATGTGAAGTACTGTTGAGGGTATAACTGCAAGCATGTATGGCTTTAATATTTTTTAACCTTTCAAATTTTACTAAAATTGAATAAAATTAGAGCATTGCTGTCAATTTTAAAAATCGTTTGCTTCATTTAGAAGGCTTACCTTTGCAGTTGCAAGATGCAACTGTCATGCAATTTCACTAATTCCAGACTGCTTATGGAGAGACACAGTTGTAGAAGGCTGAGATGAGTTGTTTTCCCTGCACATCATAGTGCATCATCATCTACTTCGTGTTGCGGTCTCTTCTGTCTGTCAAAGCAAACCGTGAAATCACTATTCAAATATTAGAAAGCTTAGTATATTATGTGTTTGCATAGTTCTCTGGAAGTAAAACCACCTCTTTCCCCCAAACACATTCTATATAGATACAGAAATATTTCTGTATGAAATACAGAGTGTTGGTACCTTTTCCTTAAATGAGAAGAAAATGTATTCTGCCATGGAGTTAAAAAGGAGGTACTATCATTCATTCTATACTAGCAGACATCTGCAGCATGGACTACAATATTCTGGTGAGTCACACCATCTCCCTTTATAGCTGATGAAGTGGAGTGGAATTCCGATGTGGAATTTGGATTTGGCAGTGCAGGACTTAGTTTAGTTGCGTAGATGTTCAAAGGCAGGATTGCAAGGTTTGAGAAAAGTTAGGTAGGTGCATCTATGGGCTGTCTATAAATAGGAGCAGTTAAGGCTCTGAAAAGGTATACGAAGTGATGATGGGAAAAAGCTTTCAGAAAAACTTTGCAGGGACTACAATGGGAGAACACATCTCAACTCCTTTTCTGTGTGTTAATCATTCAGTAGTTAGAGTTTGGGATGAGTTATCATAACCTTTCACTCTTCCTAGCTAAAATTTGATTATTTCATTCCTTTATTCCTGTAAATAATCCATACTCAGGATGTGTTCTGAACAATTCAAAACTCCGTCAGTGTTAATTTTGTCCATTTAAATAAACATATTTTATTTTTATATCAAACTAAAGTGGGACAAATAATCACACACACTAATCACGCAAAACGTACGCTTCAGACAATGCAAAATTCCTGGAAATAGTAAAGTAAAATATAAATTAGGTAACACTTTTCTATTTTAGTAACAATTATCTCCCATTGTTACCTTGATTTAGCAACAAATTCCACAGAACAAAAATTACAAAAACAAAGACAGTCCAGGTAATTTCCCTTAGTGCAAGGAGTGTGCATCTTGGATTTTTGAATAATTTCATAGACCTGGCAGAAAAAGGATATTGTACTATCATTCTGCAGTGATGTGAAAGTTAGTGAAATACAGCCATGGAAAATTGGGGGTGAAGCATGTTTCTTAAAAATTTAAGGCTTAGATCAGAAAAAAGTACATATTCTAAGTAGAATAGAAATATTAACTCTAAGTACACATGTGGAACATAGTGGAAGTGCTCCCTGAAGAGGGTGGAATTATGATGAACTGCTCCTGCCAAATAAAATACTCTCTCTCTTCTCACTAGCATAAAAGTCTTTGGCAGGGATCTCTGAATATAACACCAGTATACTGGGTTTAGTAATGCTTACAAAATATCTAATGCAAT